AGGGAGCGAAGGAGGCTCGGGAGGGCGAGGGGTGCCCACAGGTCCATTTTGACTGGCGGAGGGGAGCCGGCGGGCCAGGGGAGCAACCAGAACTTTGCGCGTGTGCGCGCGCGCCCTGGGGCGGGAGGGGGCGCAAACTAGAAGCGGGTGTCTCCCTCCGTCGCACCTGGTTGGCGCTCCCCGACAGAGGTGTGGAGGGAATGAGTGAAGGAGTGGGCGCCAGCCGTCCTCGGAGGGAGGATGAGTGAGTGGAGCAGCTTGACATCCGTAGGAGAAAACGAAAAGAAAAAAAATAATAAAAAGAAATCCATAGCAGGTCAAAGATGCAGAAGCCATTCATTCCGTGGACGCGCAAGGAATGCAGCACACGGCGTGGCTGCGGGAACCTGGTTTCCACGTCGTCTCACGCCCACAGGGGCCTTGCATGCTCTTCCATCACCTGGACGGTCCCCGCCGACTCGTTCCCAGGCCTCTGCCCTTCTCCGCGGAACCTTCCCAGGCCTCTGCTTTCTCCCATCGTGGAAGGTTTCTTCCACGAAACCTCCAAACTCCCCAGCCAGAGCCTCTCCAGGTTCACGTCTGCAGGCCCTCCTGGATTTGGTGACAGGACGCTGCCATGGCCTTCAAATTAAGAAGAGGCGTCTCCTGTTAGGCAGAGCCTTGGAAACTGTGGGTCGTGACAACAATCGATCATTAAAGAAATTCAGTAGATGGCAATCAGCTTAAAAAAAAAAGAAATGTATCAGAATAAAAAAAATTAGGATCCATTGCCCTTAGTAAGGGTAACTGGTTGCATAAATCTCTTGTTTCAGTTATATATACTGGACAACAGTACTGTCCTATGATGTAAATTGTATTTCCGAATACTGAAAGTCATGGATGAAAAAAGTTTAAAATTTATGTTTGGGGGTGTATAATAATGATTTCTAATATGACACTATTTTCCTAAAACCAAACCCGTTCGTTATATTTTCACTACCACTTGTCATACCCAACCTCCATACCCTGTGACCACCCTCCCCAAAACGCCTCAAAAAAAAAAAGAAAAAAAAGACAAGCTCTTTCATGCATCTTCCTAGTTTTTTTTGTTAGTGGCACATCATTCCCAATTCATATCAAGATGACCTTTCCAGGGGTGGGCAAACTTTTTGACTCGAGGGCCACAATGGGTTCTTAAACTGGACCGGAGGGCCGGAACAAAAGCATGGATGGAGTGTTTGTGTGAACTAATATAAATTCAAAGTAAACATCATTACATAAAAGGGTACGGTCTTTTTTTTCAATAGTTTTATTCATTTCAAACGGCCGGATCCAGCCCGCGGGCCGTAGTTTGTCCACGGCTGCCTTAGACGCTGCCATCTTCCTTGTCCCCATATTCAGTGCTACTCTTCCTACTGCTTCTCTTAGCCTGCCATTCACATTTGCAGGTTCGTAGAAACCATTGCTAGGACAGGACTCAGAGGTCTTCTGGACCAGCCCTCCCCTTTTAAAATTGAAGAAATGAGGCCCAAAGAAATGAAATATAATGCCCAGTGTTACAGAGAATTAAGTCTTAGGGTCACATCTCTTGGCTCCCCCTCTGGTGCTCTTTGCTTCGCACCATTCATTCATCCCTTCCTTTCTGCCCCCCACCCCCACCCCCAATTCTTACCTGGTCTCAGCACAGTTCACATAAGCACCGCCCCCTTCCTGACACAGTTCTGCCCATGCCAGGCTCCTGCTCACGTGTAACAAGGACTCAACCTCTGCACACAGGGCTGAGGTTGCTGGCTCCTTGGCTCTCAGTCAAGGCAGGCAAGCCCTGACTTACCTTTCCAAGCACATGAGTCTCCAGCCAGACTGGTTTCCTCGTGGTCCTCTGCCAACGTAGGCCATCTGGGCCTCTGTCTTTGCCCTGGCTGCTACTTTCCTCCCAATGGTGCCTTCTCCATCTTCGCTCTTTAACCAGATTCTACCTGTGCCCAAGGTAGCATGAGATTAGGGCAGAGTTGGGTTCAGATCCCAGCTCTTGCTTAGTAGCTGTGTGAATTAGTCAACTTGCTTAACTTCTCAGACCTTCAGTTCCTGTATCTCTGTTATAATGAGAATAGTGATAATGTCTTTCTCTATCACAACCTTGTCAATGTAAGAAATGTCCAAACCTTTTCTGTGAGTTTGAGTCAAACTGATGGTATATGCTGGGGAGCAAGATCCCAGATACTTTGGAGAACAATAGTTTTGTAGTTTCTTGCACGCATTTGAAATTAAGAAGGGAACATAAGGAAGATGATATGGAGGTGGGAGGAAGCTAGGCGGGGCTTGGATTACAGGATAGTTAACAGTTAACAAGATTATGTGCTCATCTTGAGGGTGAATGCCTCTTCCTGGGGTATTACTTCTGGCATCTCAAAGGTGTGTTAACCTGTCCTAGATGCACACGAACAATGGACAGGGCTGGCTTAAAACCTTTCACTAAAAATGTTGTAGGTCTGGGTGTGACTACCCACCACGACCAGCCCAGTTAGACATTTATGATCAGCTCACCCTGTGAGGTTACTTCCCATAGAACCTCCCCCGCACCCCACCTCTCTTTTGTCCACAACCTTTACCATAAAGGCATTATCTCTCTCCCCATTTCCCGTGCTGCACAATAGAACTTTCTGCCATGCTGGAAATGTAACAACTTGTGGCTGCTGAGCACACGAAATGTGGCCAGTGTGCCTGAGGAACTGAATTTTTCATTTTTAATTGATTGTCCTGTGTGGCCAGTGGCCACCATAATTGGACAGTGCATTTCCAACCGGTAAGCTCAGCCAGGGAAGAGCCCATGCTGATCCTGCTTGTCATCATATCCCCAGCAGTGAGCACACGACCTGGTAGGTGGTAGGCACTGCACAAATATTGGTTGAATGAATGACAGCTGCCATTTATTGCACGCTCACTTGTGCCAAGCAAAACACTAGGAACCTGATGTAAGGAATGTGGTATAGTCCCCCCCACCGCCCCTGAGGCGGGATTAGATTAGAGTTTGTATGGAGCGCTGGCCGGTAGTAGAAGTTCCGGTAAAAGGTGGTTATTATCATTAGTAAGACCTCCCAGTGGCCATGATCATCCAACTGATGTCTGTCTCCTCTTCCTCGAGGCTTCCAGAGCAGCTGCTGCCTTCACACCCTCTGCTGTCCCAAGGCGCATACCTCGGCTTAGATGGCGGACCCTCCTCTGAACAGGTGCCCTGGCCCCACAGCTGGTTGGCAGCATCTGGGCCAGGCCCATGGCATTCTTGTGTGGATGTCCCTCAGCTCAGGGCCTGCACTGAGTAGTGTTCAGTAGTTGCCTCTAACTTTGCCCAGTTTCTGCCAAGCCATGAATTTCTTTTTCTTTTTTAAACAATCTTTATTGTTGAAAGTATTACATATGTCTCCTTCCCCCCACATTGACCTTTTTCAGCCTGCCCTTTATAACCCCCACG